ACCCTTCGACAGGTCAAACACCTCTCGACAAACCATGCGACATCCCTCTTCATACAAGGCCACCAATACTCCTTTCTTAAGTCCAAATACATCTTTGTAGCCCCGGGATGGATCGAGAATTTCGATCTATGAGCCTCCTCCATCAATGTAGTACGCGTACCGCCCACAAACGGTACCCAGATTCGGCCCTGATAAGTCATAAGCCCTCGACTATCCGATACAAACTCAGAAACCAACCCAACGACCCGCTCTCTCTTCTGCATCTCCGGACGCACAGCCTCGGCCTGTGCCCCACGAATGGCGTCCAGAACTGGAGCTATCACGGTCAATCTCAAACATACATTTCGCAGTGGAGTACTCTCCGCCCTGCGACTCAACGCGTCGGCTACCACATTAGCCTTGCCCGGGTGGTACAAGATCTCGCAATCATAATCCTTGACCACATCTAACCACCTCCTTTGCCGCATATTAGGTTAGGCTGATCCATCAAGTACTTCAAGCTCTTATGGTCCGTGTAAATCGTACAACGAACCCCATACAAGTAGTGCCGCCAAATCTTGAGGCGAACACCACTGCCCCCAACTCCAAATCATGTGTGGGGTACCTCGTCTCGTGAGGCTTCAACTGCCTCGATGCATATGCTATCACATGTCCCTTCTGCATCAGCACCGCTCCAGTCCTAAAATCGATGCATCACAGAATACCACAAAACCTTCCATCCCTTCCGGAAGAGATAATACCGGAGCTTCGCACAACCTCTGGCGAAGCGTCTCAAATGAGGCCTGCTGCTCGGGACCCCATAAAAATGTAACACCCTTCCGGGTCAATCTGGTGAGTGGAACCGTAATCTTGGAGAAATCCTTAATAAACCTCCGATAATACCCTGCTAACCCAAGGAAACTCCGGATCTCAGAAGGTGACCTTGGCACCTCCCACCTCATCACTGCGTCAACCTTGGCCGGATCGACCAATATACCCTTCTGGTTAACGAGATGTCCCAGAAACTGGACCTCCCGCAACCAGAAATCGCACTTGGAAAACTTTGCATAAAGTTTCTCCGATCTCAAAACTCCAAGAACCTCCCTCAAATGCTCCTCGTGTTGCTCTCTAGATCTCGAATATACCAGAATATCATCAATGAACACAATCACCGACCGATCCAACATCGGCCGACATACCCTGTTCATGAGGTCCATGAACACAGCCGGGGCATTGGTGAGCCCAAAAGGCATCACCACAAACTCATAATGCCCATAACGTGTCCTGAATGCTGTCTTCTGGACGTCCTCGTCCCGCACTCTCACCTGATGATAGCCCGACCTCAAATCAATCTTGGAGAACCAAGATGCTCCCTGTAACTGATCGAATAAATCGACGATCCTCGGCAACGGGTAACGGTTCTTGACCGTCAGCTTATTCAATTCCCGGTAATCAATACACATGCGATGCGAGCCATCTTTCTTCTTCACAAACAGGATGGGTGCTCCCCACGGCGAGCTACTCGGCCGAATAAACCCCTTCCCCAGCAACTCCTGAAGTTGCGAGGATAACTCTTGCATCTCTGGAGGCGCAAGGCGATACGACACCTTAGCGATAGGCGCGACTCCCGGAACCAAATCGATACCAAACTCCACTTGCCTCACGGGAGGCACACCTGGTAACTCTTCGGGAAAGACATCTGGAAACTCACGCACCACCGGAACTTCATCCACCGAACTCGGTCTCTCGGAGATCACTCGCGTATCCATCACATACGCCACAAAACCCTTACAGCCCTGCTGTAAACATGCCTCGCCCTAGCAGCCGAACAAAAGGCTGATCCAGAACGGTACCCTCGCCGTAAACCGAAGGAACTCCCCCACTAGGATCTCGTATAGTCACCAGCTGACGCTCGCAATCGATAACCGCGCCGAATCGGCTCAACCAGTCCATGCCCACTATAACACAGACATCACCCATCGCAATAGGAATCAGGTCGATCGGGAACTCAACCCCAAAAATCTCCAATACACATCCCCGGAGGACCTCCGTGACACAAATCACTCTATCGGCGGCTATGGAAACCCGCAGGGGCCGACTCAGTGCCCCACGACTAACACTGATATGCTGACTAAATGTCAAAGATACAAAAGATCGACTCGCACCCGAGTCAAATAACACTAAAGCAGGTATAGAGTTCACAAGGAAGGTACCTATGCATAGCATAATATAAGCATAATATCTCAACCCCATAATTAAATA